TGACGGGCGACTCTGGGCGCCCGCCGGCCAGCCACCAGGCCCCTAGGTTTGAAAGGGGTCCCTCCCCCAACCAGTCGGGGGGTAATTCCCTCAGGGGCGGGGGTGTCATCACCCCCCCTCAGCGTGTGGAGAGGAACTTCACGGCCACTCATCAGTCCGCTAGACCCTTCTCACTCCCGTTAGCTGAGTGGCCGCGACTGGTGTACCACCGTTCCTCATTTGATGGAGGCGGCCCTAGCTAGCTGCCGCCTTAGCTCCCACCACGGCCGCCTCCACTGAGCATTGAGCCGTCAACAGTCCACTTGTCAAACTGTTCTGTTGCCGACAGCCTCATTGAAGGCGTACAACCCGAGTGGTGACTGTTAGCGGTTTGCACTCTATTGGTCTCGGGTTCACGCGGTGTGGCCCCACTTGGTGGTGGGAAGATTAGGGCCCCCCTGGAGCGTTGAATCACGCTGTCAAGGGGTATTAGATTTGGTTTTGGTCGAGTACTTAATTAACGACGCTTTAAATTAAAAATAAAAATGCTTTTGGGTTTACCGCGAAAATTTTCATATTTGTAGCGGTTGTGATTAAAAGGTTGAATTTAATATGCTCCTTTAAATGCTGCTGCATATGTTTTGTAAATACATTTGATCACTGTGTTTGTTGTTGCACGGAAAATTGAAATTGAATGCTTGTGTGTATGTTTTGTAATTGTATTTGCTCATTGCGTCTGTTTTGCTGAAAGGGAAATTTGAATTCATTTGAGGCTGAATGACGCGCTGTTTGGAAATTGGTGTATGTTTTGTGATTGTGTTTAATCATTTTGCTTGTGAAAGGGAAGGCTGAAATTGGATAACCCTATTTGTGCCGAAGGGAGTAAGAGTCTCTTCTCTTTTGGTTTACATTTTGTTGGCACTGTCTAAGATATTTAAATGAGAAGTAGGGCTGTCCCTTACGTTTATTGTTTTGTTTAATTTGCAAGTTGACCTATGTGGATCGGTGATTAATTTGTTTGAATGAATTCTATAGTTGGACATTGATGCTTTTGAAAAATTAGTTGAAATATGAGCATAGGGCTACCTGTCTAAAGGGCTAGCCAGTTTGTAGATTATCAGATGGAAATCAGCTGTCGCACCATTTGGTAAATGATTATATGGTGGATGGCTTGGTTATGCCTACTTGTTGAAAATTCATACTAGGGACTATCTGTGCGTTTCGTTCGGCTCTCCACAGACGACGTTCATGGGGAATTTGGGGGTGCTCTCTGCACTGAGGCCACTCTGGGCCGATTCGTGTCGCGTCGCTGTTTGCAGACCTGATCCGGTCGGATTGCGGAACTAATCATAGGGGCACAGATAGGTGTTTGAAGGAGGTCGTCGGACTTCTGTCTAGGAATAGGACTTATTTATGTGCTGCGATGTCCAGGAAGGGCATCCAGTTCAACTCTCCGGCTTGCCCGCGTTGGGGCTGTAATTTTGAGGCGTGGGCTAGGATTGCAAGATCTGATGGGGTGCCTTAGGTGGCCTAGTTTGGTTGTAGATTCGATCTTGCAATTTGCCGTCGCGACCCTGTCCCGCTGACCGGTTTTCTCGCGGACCTAAATACTTATGTCCGGGACAGGGGTTTGTTCACGCCCGAACGCTGGTTTCGGAATTTGACGCCAGAGGGCGCTCGGCTCTGGCGTCGTAGTGAACTTTGATCCGGACATTCGTGTTCGTGCGGTGTGTTACGTTTTTGCTTATAGTAACGGGATTTCGTATAGACCGACATTCTGTATTTGTGTTGGGTGTTACGCTTTATAACAAATTAGAGTTATGGAAGTTAGTTAATTGTGCGACAAAGTTAAGGACTGTCCTCGTGACGAACGAAGAAAGTGACTGTGGACGACTCCGCGGAAGATTACCAGAATTTGGAGCGGTGCTGAAGTCCGAGCTGTTGCCGACGGCAACGGTCTCATAAGGTCTACCACACTCAGTCACACACAGATACACATCACTGACCCTTACTTCCCATGCACCATACAACCACATGCGACCTGACCGAACCCTGAGGGACCAGTCGCCTTGGATATAGGTAGGTAAGCTCGGTTTTAATATTCTCCCTATTGAATGGCAGTAGGATAGAACGCTCCCCCTTATTGTTTATTGTAATTAGAGATTTTCCACTTTGGCTTTAGGAGGTCCGACCTGCATCTGCTTGTGGGATCTTCCTTCATAGGCCGGGAAGATCCTACTCTTGGATAGGCAGCTGCACGCCGTAACAACACTAATCAAATAAAATACATGTTAATTAGCATGAAATTTATTTGTGGGGTAAGTTCGAGTAATATATTAGAGTGAAATTAATTTTAAAGATGACCAAAGAACCGGGGCCACGCAAACAGCAGTAACTACTGAAATGTTGGGGCGAGAAGACCCACGAATCACATATACGGACATTGAAAAGATTGTAGGCATTAGTTCGAGGAGCATTCATACCATCCTACATCAACATCTTGGAGTGAGGAAGCTTTGTTGTCGATGGATCCCTCGTTTGCTCTCCGAAAGCGAAAAACAGACTCCTGTCGATTGGTGCCATGAATTGCGTCTACATTTTGAAAACGGGGCATCTAGGCGTGTTTCAGAAATCGTTACTGGTGACGAGACATGAATCTATCAATATGATCCGGAAAATAAAAGGCAATCATCGGTCTGGGTCTACTCAGAAGAACAGTTACTGACAAAACTGCAAAGACCTCGCAACGTCGGCAAAAAAATGGTGGCTAGTTTTTTTTCGCGGAGCGGACATTTGTCGACGTTAATGCTGGAAAATTGTAGGTCAGTCAACTCTAAATGGTATGCTACAGTTGCATTACCCAAAGCTTTCCAAGCTGTGCGGGAGAGAAGACCAAAGACCGGGCTTCGAGGAATCATGCTGCATCACGATAACGCCTCTTCACATACCTCCCTTAGAACAAAAGCATTTATTGAGGAATCTGGTGTTGAAACTCTAAGTAACCTACCCTACAGCCCTGACTTAGCTCCCTGTGATTTCTTTTTGTTCCCAAGAGTCAAAGAAAAAATAAAAGGCAAGTTTTTTCAAGCGCCGAAGAAGCCGTGAATATCTACGAAGAAGCGATTTCCGACCTGTCAGATCAAGACTGGCAAAAGTGTTTTCAGAGTTGGCTTAGGCGAATGGAACTTAGTAGTATCTAGAATACTTGTCGTATATCTTAAAACTTATTGAGTCTCCTACATATTATTGTCTATTTTGAGATAAATAAGCCAAAAATTTTAAAAACCTAACGTACACTAAGGGAGTCGTACAATTTATGCAAAGAAGCTTATCTGACAGCTGTCACTTGTATGACAAAATAATAAAGATGGCCGACTATGAGCGCGTTTTCTGTTACAATCGCTGCGATCAGCCCGTTCTAGCGTGGTTTCATAGACAATGGGCACCTTTTTACTCGGTATGGAATGCAATGAGCGCGTTTTATCCTAAAGTAGAATTTTTTTCAATTAATTTTACACAAAATCAGCGCCCTTTATCGTGTTTAAAATAACGTGCTCTGATTGGCCATAGAATACGAAGTAAAATGGTATAGTTCATTACAAAAACGAAAAATTGTCAATGAGCTCGTTTTTTCCCTGTGCCCTTGAAATTATGTGGGTATACACAGTAAGGGAAAAAGTAGCAATTAACTTGAATATCAATTTACGTAGAATAGTTATTATGCGACAACCGAAAACGACACTACAAAATGAAGCGAAAGCAGTGACCACTGTGACATTACAGGTGACACTTGACAATTAAGTTTGACACACCATAATGATATTTTTTTAGGTTAGCGGTGCGTTAAGGAATTTTGAATTATTCAAAATAGTGCTGGTAGGTTTTCAAGGCACGGTTTTTTGAATGAAGTCATCCGAAGGGCTCTGGTCTCTATAAATGTTCTCTCGGTTTTAGAGCCTTGTGGAATATTAAGAGACAATGGCAAGAGACCCGACGGTATGACATTGGTCCCTTGGGAGGGAGGTGAAACCCTAGTGTGGGATGCTACTTGCGTAGACACTCTGGCAGCCTCTCATCTCAGGGGTACCTCGCTTAGAGCCGGGGCGGCATCAGAGGCAGCTGAACTGAGTAAGTGGCGCAAATATGAGTCTCTGAGAGATGACTACATATTTGAAGGAACGCCATCCGTGGCTGGTCGTTGCTGCTGGTGATAAGAGGGCTGGTTCTTTTCTCGCTCAGAAGCTAAGTATAACTATTCAGCGGGGAAACGCAGCTAGCGTTCTTGGCACGATACCACGGGGAGTAGGACTATATGATAATTAAGTTACTAGTTTTAGATTTTTTTTATTATAGTTTTTAAAATTGTATATAATAGAATATTGTATTTTTTCAAATTTTTGAATCTACTGAGTAGATGCAAGATTTAGTTGATACTGATTTCGCTGGTTCTCACTATTCGCTAGTTCCCAATAATCGATTATGGGTTTATTGACATCGATGTTTTGATGATTGAAATGTGTCAACATCGATGTTTTAACCATAAAGTTATAGATAAAGATTCTTTATTTATAACTTCATTCTAAAACATCAATGATCCAAAGATATTATAATATACTTCGTATAAAACAAAATATCTTTGCAATGATCATCGAACACCTTAATCCTGTTAGTTAGGGATGGGCAAGGGAAAAAATATATGGATATATATCGAATTGATATATCGTCATTTGCATTATTTAGACATTTTAAAATATATCGAAACTGATGTGAATTCCATACCCTAAAATAATCGACATATCGATATATCGCGATTTAAAATGTTGACGATATATATTTTTATTAAAAAATATCGATATTACGATATATCGATATTTTTTGCCCACGCCTATTTCTGCGCTGCGCCAAAAATATTTTAAACCCGCGTAGTGTTTCTATATAGTTTGTGTTTAAACCGGGAAAATTCTTCACCAGCAGTAATAGTGTTCTGTGAACATAATATAATTGTTATTAAAAGTGGATCCATGTCCAATTTAAAAGTCTCCTATTTGGTCGTTGGTGGTGGAATAGCTGGTGTCACTTGCGTTGAAACACTTGCGATTCTTCATCCGGAAGAAACACTTGCGATAATTACAGCCTCGTCGCTAGTTAAAAATGTGACCAATGTTAGTTTTTATGCAAAAACCATTGTTAAGTTTGACGTTAGCGAAACCGAAGCAAATTCCTTATTAAAAATTCACCCTAATCTAAACATTATCTATGACTCTTTAAAACATATAAATACAATGCAAAAACTTGTTACTACAGATGGTGGTAATATAATAGAATATAACGTGATTTGTATTTGCACAGGAGGCATACCAAGGCTTATATCAGATTCTAATAAATGTAACAGAATTTTAGGCATCAGAGATACAGATTCTGTGAAAGAATTTGAAGAGAAGCTGAAAACAGGCCGTCGAATGGTGATAGTAGGCAACGGTGGCATTGCGTCAGAAATTGTTTATGCTACTAAAGGGATTCAGAAAGTGTGGGTGATAAGAGATGATTATATTTCGGCCACATTCATTGATCCAGGAGCAGCTGAATTTTTTCAAAATACCATGAAGAATAGATCTCCTGAAGTTGAAAAAAATAAGCATACAATTCTAAGAAGACATGTTTTTACAGAAGAAGACACAGTTGTTGCCATAAATAAGAACATAAAATCTGCTGCCCTAGGACCAGACTGGTATCGTAAACTTGAAAGTGTTAAAAATGAAAATGGTGAACAAGAGCTTGAGATAATTTACAAGGTTGAAGTTGAATCTGTTCAGGAAGTAGACAATAATGAATATTGTTTGGAAGTAAAACTCACCAATGGAAGGACTATATCTTGTGACTTTGTTATATCTGCTACAGGAGTAGAACCTGCAGTAAATTTTACTTTCGATAAAGAACCCAAAAGAGGAAATGATGGTGGACTAGCAGTCAATGAGAATCAAGAAACAACAGTGAAAGATGTTTTTGCAGCTGGTGATGTTGCTTTTGCTGCTTGGCCTTATGCTCCACACTGGTTTCAGTTAAGGTTATGGACCCAAGCTAGACAAATGGCAGGTATGGCTGCAAAAGCCATGCATGCTAGAATAACAAATGAAGATGTACTCCAAGATTTTTGTTTCGAGCTGTTCACTCACTGCACAACACTTTTTGGGTATAGAGTAGTTTTATTAGGAAAATATAACGGGCAAGGTTTAGGAAATGATTATGAAATACTTCTTCGAACAACACCAAATGTTGAATACATTAAGTTTGTTCTTCAAAATGGGAGATTACAAGGTGCCATATTAATAGGAGAAACTAACTTAGAGGAAATGTGTGAAAATTTGATTTTGGACCAAATTGATTTGACACCTTTTGGTGATGATATTTTGAATCCTGATATTGATATTGATGACTACTTTGATTAAGCAGCTTTCATACTAATCATCATTATTACAGCCACTGCTGCACAAGTCCACTGGTGAACGTAGGCCTCCCCCAAGGAATGTGACAAAGCACAGTCCTGAGCCAGTTGCATCCATTGATTTCCTACATGTCTTACCAAGTTGTCACTCCATCTAGTGGGGGAACGCCCTACACTTCGTCTACTGGTATGAGGCTGCTACTCGAGAACCTTTATTTCCCATTGGTTGTTAGTTCTTAAAGCTATATGGCTGGTCTATTGCCACTTCAGCTTACCAATCCTTAGGGCTATGTCGGTTACTCTGGTTCCACTGCTGATATCCTCGTGTTTAAGTTTATTATGCAGAGAAACCCCGAGCATTGCCCTCTCCATAGCTCCCTGAGCAATCTTGAGCTTCCTCATATGACCAGCAGTGAAGGATTTTCATACTAATGTTAAGTTTGAATTACTTTTATTAAATAATGTTTAATTTTATTGTTTATTTATGTCTATAATAATGTTTAAAAATAATTATGTAAAATAAAGCAATGTCAAACATCCCTAATGCATTTTCTCTCTAAATTATTTTAGTAGAAAGGATATGTACACCAAAACTTATTAAAATTTATGATAAAAATTTTGAATTTCCAGACTGTGACACATTATCATTTTATAAATAATTAATAAAAGTTAAAATAGATCCATATAATATCAGAAGTATGTATGGTAGGGTCTATGGCATAGATTACTGTATATATACTAGAGTCTATGGGTAGAGTGGAGCTTGGATAAATTTTTTTATGTGGTAGAGCCTAATTGCAGCTATATTTATTGAATTGTTGTAGCACGAATGGGTCAACTCAACCGGGGAAGGACCACACTCACAGTATACCAGCATAAATAGCAGCTTAACTCTGCTGTGTTTTGTATTGTGAGTATAGAGAACCGGAGACCCTTTTTACTGGAAAAGAGGCATTCCATCTTAGGCCTCGAGGCTGACAACGCATCTGCATTTTGATTCGGAAACGAGGATAGGTGTAGATATATATGGACCTCTGCAACCACTTACCATCAGGTGGACTGTGTGCTCGTTTGCCACCCTATTTCTATGAAAAATAAATGATAATGGATGGAGCCTTTTGATTTTTAGCATGTCCGGTTTTTGACAGTTGTCAATCACAACAAGTTGGTAATAATTAATGTGCAGGACTAGAGAAGTGACTATGTTATCTAGATTATCAATTAAGTAACGCTGCAAATAATAAAATGTCTTAATTGGAAATCGACAACTTATACCAATGAGCCTCACCAGTAGATGAAATGTTGGCTTACTTAGGATTCTTAACGTAAACATCACGCCTGTCACCCAGAGGGTAGGCAGAGACTACGGACTTACATTTGGCACGATCCTGACACCTCTCGCCTCCTTTACGTCCATATATCAACGAAATAACCCTAGGCCCACCCTACACGCGTCCCCCGGGTGGTGCTAAACGAGCGACAAAGCCAAGAGGATAGACTCTGCTCTTCGCCGTATGGTAGTGGCGTAAAATCTACCACCCCTTAGTTCGCACCATGAGCCAGCAAATAAAACAAATGGCCCCGAGTTCTCGGCGCCCCTTTAATGGGGCAGGGGTGCGAAGAATCTCCGGGAGAAAAACTGGCGACGAGGTTTGCCACCTGTCACGTTCTGTCTCCAAGAGGGGCGAAAAGTGGATTGCGGAGGCCCGCTGAATGTATGTGGAGCAATGAATGATAAGATGGATGAAGTATGCGAAATGATGAATGATAGATTTTTTGTACATCGTAGAGCTATGCTGCAGCTATATTATGGTCGTGGCACGAATGGGTCGGCTCGACCGGGGAAGGACCACGCTCTCACAGTGTTTCGTATGGCGAGTGTAGAGAACTGGAGACCCTTTTTACTGGAAACGAGGCATTCCATCTTAGTCCTCACGGGTGACAACGCATAAACATTTTAGTACAATTTCCTTCATTTTAATATTGAATGTTGGGTTACTGGGTAAAATAATTGAATTCTAATTGCGGCCCTGTCTTTTTGTTATTTTTTATGAGGTTTACTTGACGATAGATGGCGGCCTGTTCTCAAGATTATTATGAAAACTTTAAAAATATTATTTTGGCGATTAAAATTTCTTTGTCTGAATGTATTTGCTTCATGAGATAGACGCTCCGATGCTATGGATGGCATCACATTTCATTTGTAAGTAATTTTACACCTAATTTATTAAAATAGTTCTAGAAAAATCTCTTTGCGTCGGCTTTCAAATATAATTAAATATATTCCACACTAGATGGCGACACTTTGTGTCCTGTGAACTAAAAATATAAAGGTACGTAGAGCTCAGTAATGATAAAATAATCATACGAAGGTGCTGAAATTTGTTTTGCATTCAGACATAAAGAAGTTTTAATCGCCAAAGTGTTATTTTTAAAGTTTATAACATTTTGTAGACATGCCGCCATCTACCGTTAAGGTAGCTAAGCTACATTGCAACATCGATATGGAAAGATTCGAGTAGTTTTACTATTTATCGGTAGATGTAGATAGTGTAGTGGACGGGCCTTTGCATCCCCTCACCCCGCAAATTGTCACGCGTTGTTACATAGTGAAATTTAATTACAACGTCTCCTCTTTGTATTTGCTTCATGTTTGGCTCTAACTTAGGCCTTGACAGAAGTATTACTGGTATATTATCTTTCCCGCTGACCGCAGCTACTTCTGTCCCCGTTGTTGGCCCCCTCAATTTTGGTTTAAAGGACCAACTAAAACAGCAGGTGGCGCACGGGTCATGCGCCCCCGATCAAGAATCAACCAACTATTGACCTTCTATTCGCAGACCAATACCACGTCACGCTGGGTTCGGGACAACGAGGTGGGTGCGACCCTATATGAAAACATTCGATTCCGTACACAATCCCGTTTCTTAAAAGAAAGGGTGCACGATTAAGATGATGGGCGCCTATTGGAATGGTTCGCCTTGAGAAATGCGATACTGATGCACTATTACTTTACTAAAGCACTATTACTGTTTACTTTTCACTTATTTTCTTTCTTCTTATTAGTTCTCGAAACTGTCGCTGACTTCGAATGAACTGTACTTTCTATCCTTTGTCGTCTGCGAGTGTATAATTGCACTGCAGGTCTCAGGCCTCGGGGCATCCCCCATTACCCGGATTCTCCTCGCAGTACACAACTATGTACCGGTCGTGGGTGTCCTTATCCGCATTGTAAGTGTTGGCAGCGGATGGGGTTTAATTCCTCCGTTCGCCGCTATAAGAGTCATATCCGGTTAATCAATAGGGACTATAGTCAAAGTTGGTCATTTAGTGACGTTGGTGCTTATTACTCGATTCTCTAATCTATAAAGGGAAAAATTCTCCAAGTAGAGGTCACTCGTCCGGGGGCCGAAAATGTAAAGGTACTAAGTCTTGAAGATACACGTGTAGTCCGTTGTCAACACAGTCAAACACACCTCGTGCCAGCCGGACCACAAAGTCTTGGATGCTCTCCATCTTCAAGTTGGTGACTATGATGTCGTTCCAGACGTAGCGACCTGCATCGACGATAGTCCTTAAGGATAAATTCTGCTGTGCCTGTGTCGCTGCCTCTGTCGATCTCTCAAGAGTGCGTACCAGGCTGGGGCAGCATAGGTGATCTTCGGTCGTATGTAGAGTTTGTAAATTTTTAACTTAGTTTTTATTGAGAGCTTGGTTGCTAGGACGGGACGAAGCATCGCCTACGCACTTCTGGCATTGCGGACGATGATGTCGACGTGATGAAACGTAAGTATAATAATTATTATCGAAATATATGATTCCGATTTCTCGGCACCCCACGTGTTAATCTAACAACCGTATCCAAAACAACACCAAGCTCTGGTTCAGCTGGAAGATGGTAATGTGTCATTTTACCAGAATAAATCTCAAACTTGTAAGCAAAGCCTTGCAAATAGCACATAACAAATAATTTGAAGCCCCATTCATGTAGCTTGTTTGGCAAATACTGTTTTAGAAAATGCCCTATCTTTGTGGCTCACATTTGCTCGTCCACTGATAGCCTCTGCTCACATGGAAAAGAACCAAACCTCTTATTCAGATAATCGATTGTCGGTCGTAGTTTATGTAGCCTATAACGGTCGGGATGGTTTGTGGGCAAATGTATGTCATTGTCGTTGAAATGAATGAAACTTCTAATCTTTTCAAATCTGTTAAGTGACATGGTTATTAACCAGGAGGACCGTAGGTTGGGGTATCGGAACACGGACATAAATGTAATAGTTCCTAAATGCTGACGCAACTCTGTAGTTGTAATTGATTCCGGTCGAGCTGGAGTTTTTAGTACGCTATATCTATTGCTTTCTTGCACAATGTGTGAAAAAGTAGGAAAAAAATTGATAAGGTGCTTCAAGGCTTGTGACTTCTGAAGAATAGGGAGTATTGTCCTCAAATTTTATTTTATTCTCGTCAAACTGAAAGCTTTGCTTTTTCGAAATTAGTTGTCGGTTATTGATTGGTGTACATAATCATAATCATAGTGCCATTAACGAACATGGTGGTGTACCAATTCTTATAACCCATATTTTAAATACGGGATAATTTGAACCATGTTTTATGAAGATTTACAAACTATAGCGTTGTCTTTATCAACTTCTCGTCGCAACATTACTTTTCTCTGTGTTTATTGCCCTACTTCAGGTCCCTTGAAAGTTAGGAAGTGAAGTAATATTATACAAAATCTTCCCAAACCTATTTTGTGGCTGGGGATTTCAATGCACATCACATTGCATTTGGATACCTATCTAATAAACCTGGAGGTTACAACATTATAGATGACTTAGATTTATGCATCTTAAATGAAGGTGAGGTAACTAAGTACTTTTAAATATCCCAATCTTAGCCCATCTGCTATTGATGTCTCTTTTGCTAGTCCATGTATTACCTCTCTATGAAAATGGTCATTTCATGATGATAGTAGGAAGTTATCAGTTTCCTACTATCATA